CCGCTGCATTTTTCGGTTATACGCGTCCTAATTTATGTATGTCTTTGATGCAGGAGTACGACCTAGCGAATGCTGTGCACTTGGGTTACTAACGACGTCTGTTAAGTCAGTCTTTCTTAGAAACATTAAACACGATTATGTGTCTCCTCGGTGTTAGTTTATAACATTAATGTCTATAGGGAAATCCAACTTGCAGTAAACATGAGATGAAATTCTGATTATAAAGTAACCTAAAATTCATTGAAATGACGTAGCATTTGAAATTTTCTTCGTTTTCGTTTTCCGCTTCTCCCCACTAGTACGAACTCCGGGAATTACACGCTTGCTTGCATTGGGTTTCTAGACGTTTCATACAAAGTCAGTGCACAGCTTTGGAAAGCCATCTGGAATTTTAAGTTACTCAAACTAGCCATGTGGTGAACCAGTGTCAATGTATCAAGCGCCTTCAATATTTGCTTGGAAAACACTACATCACGAGCTATTAAACAATAAACAAGGATTTATCCTGGGTAAAAATACAGTTGCTGGAAAAGTTCCGCACGATGGTGGGGGTAAAACTAAGATATCAAAAAGTGTTGTCCATTTGAGCCTTAATCTGGCAGGTAAGCTGTTGAATACTAGTAGTGCCTTAGGAATTGTGTGCGAAAATCGAGGGAACATAAGATCAGTTATTTTTGATGTACTCCATGAAAAATTAAAACAAGAATACTCCATTCTCTACCGCATCCCCAGGTTCTTGCGAAAAATTCATCTTGATTAAACGGCCAAATATTATGTTCCAAATTAGCACAGTTTACGCAAGGAAGATTTGGAGGCCAAAAGCAAGAACTAATCATTTTTTGAAAACATCCAATTTGCAGATGGAAGTAAATAATTTTGGGACAGAGTTCCAGGGTTTGCAAACCTGAAGAGAAATATAATGCCACCGGCATTCAAGCGGTTATACTGTACATACACTTTCAGAGGTCTGTCTCTGAGATTGAAGTTATGCCTGAGTTTCAGCAAATGACGACATACGTGATTGGGGTCAAGCAATATTTGATTGACTAACATGAGATATTTAAAACAGTTAATTCACCCTAGTAACTCGGCTCCTGCGGTTTGCCGGAGCTATTACCATTAATCGGATTAAGCCAGTGCTATTGTGTGCAAAACTATTACTGTTCAGCCTCGGACTGCCCTGGTTCTCGAAGAAGGACACCCGCACTTTCTCTCGGTTATTTTATGTATATCTGTACCCACAAATTTTGCATAAAATTACAAGTTATCAGTATCGGCACTAATGAGACGATACAAAATCAATGCTCCTGTCAAACTTTGCCTTTTTTATGGGTTTTTATAAGGGATCGCCGCGCAGCCTTCGGTAGCGGCCACTGAAAAATCCCAGTGACTTCAGCCTTTGATGACAGGAGAGATTTCTTAGACCTTTAAGGTTCTTTGTGGCCCTACGTAGTGATTTCACCAGCAGTTCTAAGTCGTGTTTTAGCCAATGGTTTCAAGCTTGGATGGCGTGTTCAGTTTGAGGGCGCATGTAATTTTTGTGCGCCACAGGGAAGATGCATGGGTCGAAAATTCCGTATGCTCACTGCAGCAAGCCGACTTGCTGATTGGCGCTTTTCGCAGCTGCCTACAACTACTTTGAAATGTTAATGCCATATCAAGTTTGCGTTCTTGAAATAAACCAAAGCATCGCATGGCAATATAATATAACCGTTAGCGTTTTCTAGATTACCGGACCATGGAATTATTCCCAAAGCCCTCAAGGTCAAATCGGGGAGGTGGTACTTATGAGTCATAGTGCTGCAGGATATGGGTTGACTTCGTTTTGAAGAAATTTTCTACGCGTATACAGGTCGAGACCGTAAAACCCCATTTTGGTTGCTTCCGCTGTTTCCATCTGACCATAAACTAGCAGCTCGTAGCTGTTTAGTAGAACTACACGTGCCATTTGATCAATCGCTCAGGTCTGCGCCATGTGGGAAAACGCGCGCCAATGTTCTAGTTACCCAGGTACAAAAGCAGGCTGAGACTGTCTCAGGGTGTTTCTCCCGATATACGGATTAGATGTCGCATATTTGTAGCAGTCGTAGGGATCGTTTTTTATCTTCATGCCGATGACCCCTGAGCGTATAAGAAATTTGGGCAAGCATTTGTCAAAACCTCTTCCCACACACTGACAAATCAGTTGAACCACACCTTTTGAAACCTTTGGCCATTTGGACATTTCATGTGATTGAACCTATGTTCAAACCTATGTTTCTATTGGTATTAATTATTTTTTGTAATAGAAAATAACTGATACACAATGATGTTAGGAATCTTTCGAATTATGGTAGAAAACACATGTAAAACTCTCAGGTGGTAAACGTTTAGGCTTGCCGATGTTCCGAATACTGTGAGGCAAATATACTGCAGATGAACATTAGGTATGGTATTTGGTCATGAGTGGCTGCGTTATTGCGGTTATCAAATGATGCCCAATGGATTACATTTTAAATTGCTCAAAGTGTGAACATTTGGACCTGACACAAAATATGTCACAGTCAATAATTGAGATCCAACAGAAAACAGAATTTAAATGGGCGCAGCTGTCTAACTTAATTATAACCATTATTTAGGTTAACTTATATTAGACCTTTTCATCAAGTATGTCCAACTCGTGAGTAGATTAAGAAGGCGTCAAATAGTAGTAGTTTGTTATGTGGTTAATGTGAAGAGACCACTTGCAGGCTCCGGTTATATTATCCACCTTGATCTTGGTCACAATCTTGGCTTGAAGTTGTTTCAAAAGCAAGGAGTGTGGAGACATCGTACTCTACCAAATGCTCCCCAAAATTGGGTTGGGTACATCGTTTTGTTTGAAAAGTTAATTTATGAAATAAGTTCATGCAAAGTTTTGACAAATTTGTAATACCAGTTCATTCAACTTCCAGAAAGGTGTTATGGTCTCAGTTCGTCATTCAAGATATCTCGCAGTTCAACCATATTTTGCAATAACATTAAAAAATTTCTTACGTATTTCAGATTAAATTCTGAATTTCTGCAATCCGTTAAGCTCATCGCATTTTCATACCAGCTAGCTAGTATTTTTGCATCGCATAGTTTAACTTACACATTTTAAAAGTTTAGCAATTATGTGTGCAATATGTTCCTGTGTAACGCACGTTTACAGTTTCAGCATACTTGGCATCATCAAATTATTTTACTAAAAGCTAGATCACTGTGTACAGAGCACTGTGGACGAAAAAGCGACCTGTGGATAAAATACTTACCCTTTTCTGGCTTCGCCCTAGATGCATACAAGCGCGGCCTAGTAAAAACGCTCTTATACAGGGCCAGGCGAATTTGCAGTCAGGAATTGCTCAAGATTGAAGAAAAGTTTTATACCGGACTTTGCTAGACAATGGGTATCAAGAGAAATTCATTCAGACCCATAGCAGAACCCCCAAGGAGAAGCTGCCCGTACAAACTGCGGAGAAGTAGGAAGTTTATTTTATTCCTATCGTTCAAGGGGGACTACTTGACAAATGAGGTAGGTCACAAGCTCAGGTCCGTTTTAATGCGCACCTACTCTACCGCCCAACAACGACTTATCCATACTACGCGAAGGATTCCTCTCCACAGACGACCGAGTAGCACGGCAGTCAGTTCGGCCTTTAATATTGTCTACCAGTTCACTTACAGTTGCGGTGACAATTACATAGGCAAGGCTAGTCGCCGGCTGGCTCAAAGGGTGGCGGAACACTTCCCATTGTGGCCAAGACAGTTGCTGTCTCCCCTAGGCAGAGCGGAGCAAAGAATGGACCGGAACCTTGCATGGTCTGTCACCAGACACAAAATAACGACTCATCAACTGGTGAACCCATTCGATTCATTCAAGGTGCTATTGCGTAACAGGAATCCGATGTTGTTGGCATTTGACGAGGCGTTACTGATAAGGTTGAATTGTACCGTGCTGTATGCCCAGCATCAACTGAGGCAATCAATTAGATTGCCTTGGACCTGATTACGTCATTCACATCAATTTTATCTGTTTATCTATGTTACTAAGTGTTGACCGTATTTATTACGTATTTCGTTCTGCCTGTATTGTATAGCGACTGACGAGAGCAATCGAAATGTTGACATATCTCAACCTATGTTTTCTTACTTCGTTAATGAAGTAGTTCAAGGGGACTCAGTATTTCAAAATTCATTTTTTACCACAAAACTCAGACCTCTGCCATGCATAATGAGTTGCTATCTAAGTTAATGCAATTTTTAGAAAGTAATAATAAACATATCTGCTGCGTTTTTAAAGAGTGATTAGCAAAAACCTTATGCCTAATAGAAAATGACGTCATTTGAACTAATTTTCATAATTGCTATTGACCAATACTTTAAAATACGAGAAAGTATGACAGGTAGAAATTGTATAAAATTAACCATACTCAAAGTAGTTCAATAATTGCCTCCTTTCAAAAGACTTTAATATTTGTCATCGAGTGCTGTTTAATCATTTAATTGTATGGAAATTCCTGTAGCTGAGCCATATATGATTCGCAAGCCGGTTCAAAGATTACCGCTTAAATTTATGTATGAAGTTTGGTTTTACATTTTCTTATGTTGGTTTTCAAGATTAGGGTCTTTGAGATAATGTTCCTTATCGGAGTGTAGTTTGCGAAACTTAACTTTTACCAAGTTTCCTCTTTTAACCACGCATCATAAAATTTGCCAAAACATAGCTTTCTTTTAAAACTTAACATTTTAATGCGTTGTATCCTCAGGATTGTTAAACGCATCAACAAAAGTAACCTTATTTCTATGAATTTACCATCTTAGTCGTCAATTTTTTATCTTATGTTAACCGAAAAGATTTAGCTTACCGATTCAAGCGGAAGCAACTCTGTTGGGTGATTGGTCTACCCGGTATGTGGAAGCATGTTTGTGATTCGCCAGAAAGCAGAGACATTACACTGTAGAAAATAAAACCAGTTTCCGAACATGTTCATGTAAAATGTGCAGGTTTCATTGAATTGCTTTCGGTGGGTATGTTTGTGCATTTTTATCTCTTGCAATTCAATTCAGTTATGTTGGTGCTCCCTGTAAAATATATCTAGACAGTGGGTTTCTAGGCTTTCTCATGGAGGAGAAGCAAGTGTGTTGCACTTGTTGCACTTGGTTCTTTTTTGTAGACACCTAACGTTACGTCTATTATCAAATGTTTTTCGATAATTTACTTACATCAGGAGAGAAATATGCATGTTCACCTTCTACCATTTACTTAGGTCACCGTCAGGTTGTACAAGTTTGAGTTGCTGTATTTTTACCCACGGGCCCACATGTAATTTGAAAACAGGACTCTAAATAACTATGTAATCGACGCATGGGTTTAAATTATTAATCCTGAAACTACCGTTGGATACTTTTCTTCATTACATCTTAGCAAGTGGCTACGAATAGGAAAACAGATGAGTGACAAGTTATGTTTAGCTAACAGTGCTTAGTACGTTTTATAATTTTACTACTTAGTTTTTATCACTTGTACTAACATTACATCACAAGCTCCTCAATCTCGGCTGCGTTTCCCTTTTGCATAACGAAGTAGATGGAGTTAAACCAATGATTTTACATTGAATAACAAGCAAGGCGCCTCTCTTTTAATCGTTTATCCTCAGCGTGCAAATATTTATTTATGGACACATTATCAACCAAAGAGGAGTATACAAGTTTGTTGCTAACCTGCCAGGGCTGTTTATTTTCTAGGAATTTAGTACACTGGGAGGTACGCAGGGCGTTTATAATTCTATTAGCTAGACAAGTAATCAGATGTCAATAACTGCATACAAGGCAATTGCCATCTTTGTGCGTTTTCATAAACTGTCTTGCATAAGCGTTTCTTTAACGCAAGCGTACTATATAAACTGAGTAGCGCAATATCATGGTACATAGAAACTGACTGTTATCGTCTCATGTTACTGGTCTAGTAATGCTCTGCACCCATTATTCCAACAATGCTACAAAATCATATGACTTCGTTAGTGGGGTTTGGATAGTTGCATTTGTCCTCGTAAACTACTGGCATTTATATCCTATAATCTTTAAGTGTAACCTAAGAAGGCTGAATTCACCAGCGTCGTTAGATATAAGACGTGTGTTATGGCAAGTTCATTACTGCGTTTGGGTTATGCGAATGGATATATTGGCTGATTACTTACGGTGTAGCCAATATTGATACCGAGTATCCAAAGCTGGCATATTCGCAAATGCTAATTTTGTACTTAAAATGCTCTCGTTTGATATCAATTATAATTTCGTGCTATTTTTTATTAATGATGTTACATATACATGTTTTCATACCTTCGACGGCTAACAAACGGCAAATTATTTCTGTGTAAAGATTGTTTGGTTTAAATTATTGAGCTTGTTTGCGTCATCATCTTCATCAACCACCATATTAGCCAATTGAACTCATGTTCCACTGCCGTACAAGCATATTTACCTAAGGATTGAAAAATAATAAGGGAAACTTACAGGAAATCTAGTGTAAGAGCGTAATAGCATAAACAAGCACTGATGATCATTATTACTTTAAACTGTCAATATAAATAAATACCGACACAAATAGCTAGTTCTCAGCATCATCATGATAAGCAATTTTCCACCGGGCAGCACTTCAACGCCTGCATTGTGAAAGCTCATTACAAAATATCACCTAATATGTTCCACGACAAGTTTGCAAAGAGATGTAAAAATCAGACAACCCTGACGATCGACAAGTTTTCAGATATCCGACAAATTACCGTACGCCCAAAAGCGGCTTATATTTTACAAACAAAAAACACGTAAAATGTTCCGTGGAAAGAATATTCAATGTAAGTATTTACAGCAGACTTGATCGAACGAATAATTCAAACCAAAGCATAAGACCAAGAAATGCAGCTATTCTTAGTCTGTGATACAAGTGGCGTTGCTTTAACACACATAGTAGATTGAGTATGTTTGTTATGTAGGTCCGCTGGACGTAAACCTGCTTATAATTATGTATTGCTAGATTCCGTACTGCAATGTGGTGATGGACAGGAACTGATAACTGGGGTTTTCGCAGTAGCTTTAACTTAGTCCTACCCCATGCATCAGGATAAAGAGTAAACAGCCGATGTATCCTCCAAATGGTTGCCCACGGTTGGCCTTTCTCTGCATCACCAATAAATGACGCAATTGGAAACATCGCAATTTAATCATGAGTCGTAAAGCAATAACAACCGCTTCCATAGTCAAGTGGCATTAGTCGCTGACACGTTAATCAAGCCGCTGGTGGACAAGGGTCTGTTACATGAAATTAACATGTGGTGTGCATTGCTGATGGGTTCTGATGAAATGAAATGTCCGTCTCGTGTTGTTTGTCTTGCAAATTATGATTCAGAATAAAGAATAAGTTGCTATACATTGGAACATTTGGCCCGCTTTGTAATTGCTTAACATAAAACACATCGTTTTTGCCATATTCAAGATTTAAAATTTAAAAGTTTTAGTACATCCCGAGGTTCACATTAAATCAAATTTTCTCGTCACGCTAAATGTTTCATGTTTCATTTAGTTAACACTTGCTTGACGTTTAAGTGCAGAAGCACCCGGCGTTCATACCTCTTTGGCAATCTATGTGATACATATGTCTACTAAATTTTATATTTTCTTCCTTATGCGACGAGTTAATTACAGTCAGATAGCTTTTGTATGCAGAGATAAGTGTTTTCCATGGGGCACTAATTATAGCAGTTGTTCATGTCTGGACTCGGATAACTTGACTTAGAGTTCTCGTAGAAGGTGTACATCAAGTGCTCACTAAAACAGAACTCTCTGAACCGATAGATGTGCTGTAATTAACCAAGGCTAGATGGTAATGCACTGGTAGCAGTCTTTTGGAACGCATAATAACGCCTTGTTTCCTAACAGCGTCTCAGTAGCAGCTCTGACTTATTTCTGCACACAGGGTTAATGTGAGAGAGAAAGAGCTCATAAAGCACTAGATTATTTCCTTTGAAGCTGGTAAAGCAATCGTGGTGTGTACCGAAAATTTATTATAAGACTAGATAAAGGGACAAGGATTAAAAACATTGAACTTTTGTTTGCTACGCTCAACACATTTTGTAGTTTATGTGATGGTTAATAATTTCACTGATATGCAAGAAAAAATCGGTGTGTTTCAAATACATATATTGTTTCAAAAAAGCGTACATTGTTCCGGTATCATTTATTATGCCTACAATAATCCCTGACTAAAATGCCATCGAGTTTGTTCGCACTATGTTACAGCTTCCAGTAAGCTGATTTATGACAAAAAGGCCTATAGACATCATTCTCATTAACTGGATGCTCAAATTTCGCAGTTCTCTTTACCCGCATCCTAACTAGTAAAAGTGTCAGATAATCCTTAGGTTAATTTACAACATGGGGTGTGAAAATTATTCCAAATTATTTGCGCGTGTTCAACCTAAGGTAAACGTGTGCTTTACCCACTCTTGCTATTCTTATTGATAAGCACGTAACAAAGGTAACAGCGCTCGTGTCAAAACTCATAACGTAAAAGAAACTAATGACTACACCACGAACTGGGCTGTCTCATCGAGTTATCCTATGACAAACAAAAATAAACTCGTGACCTCAGATAATAAGAAATCACTTATTGACGTCGAAACGTGGAGTAATCCATGCAATAGTTATCGTTAAATCATTTGAGGTATATTATTTTCTAAGTTGACCAGCAGTATGTTGTTTTGTGTTGGATACCTGACAGTGCAATACTGATAGAGCCCTCTCGTAACGTGCGATAAAGGTCAGTGTGCATTTAATTCGCTTCCAAGAATACATCATCTCACATTTTCAGTAGCATGTTTAGTAAAGAAAAACAGATCGGCTATTTACTTACTAAAATTCGTTCCATTGATATCAGAAATTATGCTCGACCTTCTGAGAGTATTAGATAGATATACGATATATGTGTTGACGGGGACCGTTTGAAGGATCAGTTTAACTTTTATTGCTGCAACATTAACGACGGCATTGGCCCATCTTAACCATTAAAAACGGTATTAGCGGAATAGTTTCAAGTAAATTACCCTTTAGTGCTATGCGAATGAATCTTTCTGCTGCCATGTTCTCTATTTTCGATTAAATGATGAGCGTGATGAGCGTAGTTTCAAAATTTTGAAACTACAAGTTGTGGAAAACATATGCGTGTATCTTGTGAAAATGACATCATCTGGGCAGGCCCTTTAGTAAACAAGAGAACTGTGGAGTTAGATGTAATTTTTTCATTACACCGCGGTCGATCTTTAGACAGGCGCTGCTACACCTCTGGAAAATCACCCGAAAGCAGTTTCAGTCTTATGAGTCTCGTCAGTGGTGCGCATTCCCTGGACCTCTGTCGGGTTTCCTTCTTATCATCTTATTTTTAGACCATTTGTTACGTGCTGACCTTTGTTATACAGTAGAGTCCAGAAAGCTGGCCATTTGATTTTTCTTACTATATATGTAGTGCTGGTTGATGAACAAGATTATGTTGGAGCAAAGAGTCAAATAAGTGAATGAATGACACGAACAAATGTGAACTGATCTTGGAAATTCAAGGCGAACAGAATACTCCTCGTAAGCGTACCATACGAAACGCCACATTAGGTTATTGAATCAAACAACATTAATCTCTATTTAGCGATTAGTGACATGAGAAAAGAGAACATAATGTAAACGACATTTTCAGACCTAATTTCGGGATGAAATAAGGCTAACCGGCAGCTGCCGAGTAATAAAATGTACTGTTTTAATCGGCCTCTGTGATAGATGCAAAGACAAACTGAAGCAAAAATAGCCTAACAAAGTTTAAAGATGAGCATACTTGCTTTATTATCTGAAGTAATGTAATCGTAGATGATGTTATCATGTAATGATCAACGTGTAGATTAAAGGAACATTAAAACAAACGGTTTTCCTAAATGCGCTGTAATTGCCCATTCAGAGGAATTTTTCAAACAACGATTAGAAAAAT